CAACCACGGTGAGCAGCACACTCTTACCATGCACCTTCGGGAGTGCCTCAATGAAATCCATCGAGATGTCGGCCCACACCCGCGACGGCACTAGCAATGGCTGGAGAAGGCCGGCCGGGTGCAGCGCCTCGGTCTTGTTGCGTTGGCAGGTGTAGCAGGCCCGTCCGTAGTCATGGACGACCCGGCGATCATGTTCGACGGAGAAATCAGCACGGAGGCACTGGAGGGTCTTTTGAATGCCCTCGTGCCCCACCGTGTGGGCGAGCTGGAGGATGTCGGGCAGCAGCGGAGACGCCTCGGGCGAACACTCGTTCGTGGTGGAGAATGAGACCCTCGCGGACACGCCACGCCTCGCCGCGATCGCCGGTTGCAGCGGCGTCCCTCAGGGCGCTGAGTTCAGGGGATGCCGTGATCTCTTGGCGTAGCTCGTCGAAGAGGTGGAAGGACGGGCTGGAGAGCGCCGCGAGCGATGCGGATTCCAGACCGCGGGTTGCATCCTCCAGGCTGGGAGCAGCGCCTTCTTGGCAGGCCATAGCGTCGCCATCACGACGGGACAGAGCGTCGGCGACCGTGTTCAGCCGGCCCGGTCGATATTCCACCCTGAAATCAAAGCCAAACAATTTGCTAATCCAGTGGTGCTGGGGTATCGTGGAGAGGCGCTGGTCCAACATGAACTTGAGCGCGTAATGATCTGTGCGCACGATGAATGCGCGACCCCACAAGTATGGCCACCAGTGGCGCACTGCCGGAACCAGGCCAATGAGCTCACGCTCGTAGGCGGCGACTTTTAGGTGCTGCGCCGCAAAGGGCCGGCTGAAGAACGCCAGCGGCCCGTCTCCCTAGTGCAAGACGGCGCCAAAGCCAGACCTTGATGCGTCGCAGTCCACGATGAAGTCCTTGGCAAAATCTGAGAGTTGGAGGACCGATGCAGTGGACAGGGCGGCCTTCAGCGCCGCGAAGGCCGTGGTGGCCTCTTCTGTCCATTGGAACCCATCCTTCTTGAGCAGCAGCGTCAGCGGGGCGGCGATGGCGCCGAAATCCTTGATAAAACGCCGGTAGTATCCGGCGAGACCGAGGAAGCCGCGCAGTCCACGTGCAGAACGCGGCAGCGGCTAGGCGGTGACAGCTTCCACCTTGGCGCTGTCCATGGCCACGCCATCGGCCGAAATAACATGGCCCAAGTACTGGACCGACGAGGTTGCAAACGCTTACTTAGAACGCTTGACGTGGAGGTGGTGCGCGCACAGGACGTCGAGGACGGCGCGGAGATGTTGGAGGTGTTCGGTCCAGGACGAGCTATAGATCAAGATGTCGTCGAAGAAGACGAGCACACACCGGCGAAGGAACGGCTGCAGGACAAAATTCATTAGTGCTTGGAACGTGGCCGGAGCGTTGGACAGGCCGAATGGCATGACCAAGAACTCGAAATGGCCATGGTGGGGTGCGAACGCCGTCTTGGCCACGTCGTCGGGGTGGACGCGGACTTGGTGATAGCCCGAGCGGAGGTCAAGTTTGGTGAAGAAGCGTGCCCCGTGGAGCTCGTCCAAAAGCTCCTCGACAACCGGAATCGGGAACTTGTCCTTCACTGTGGCGGAGTTAAGGGCGCGGTAGTCCACGCAGAAGCGCCATGACGTAGTCCACGGAGAACGGCGATGTACTTGGGCGTATGATGCCCTGTTTGAGCATGTCGGCGCACTGCTTCTCCAGTTCATCCTTCTGGAGTTGAGGGTACCGATAGGGCCGCACCGCCACCGGTTCTGTGTTGGCCTTGAGGTAGATGTGGTGGTCACGGGCGTGCCGGGGGTAGGCCGGCCGGAGAGGTGAAGACGTCTTCGTACGTGCTCAGCAGCCGGTCCAGCAGTACCGGTTCGAGCCCACGCGCCGCGTGGACGCGCGCGGCGTGGAGTCGGCCCGTCGGAGGAATGTCGGTGCGGGTGGAACCAAGCCCCTTCCAGAGGACTCGCCGGCCGTGGTGCACGAAGGACATGCATAGATCGTCGAAATCCCAGAGGATGGGACCGGTGAGCGCAGCCAAGAGACGCCGAGCACCATGTCGTGGCAGTCCAGGGGGATGGCGAAGCAGTCCACCGTGAAGAACTCCTCCCCGATCCTCAAGGCGACGTCGCGGGCGAAGCCCTGGCTCGCGACGCGGTCGCCATTCGCCACGGTGACGTGCGCGCCGTGGCTGTCCCGGAAGCAGAGGTCGGCGCGTCGGGCGGCGGGAAGGCTGACGAAGTTGTGTCAACCCGGAGTCCAGGAGCGCCCTGAACTCGTGGGCACCGATCTGGACGCGGAGTTGCATAGTGTCCTCCATTCGAATTCCTGTGATCGCAGAGAGGGAGATCAGGGGCTCCCCGGGGTCGAAGGGCGACTGGGATGGTGCCGCGGTTGCCGGCACGGTGTCGACCTCTTCGGGCTCCTCAACGAGGTAGTCCGACGCCTCGAGGAAGAACAGGCGCGCACACTTGTGACCGCGCACATAGGGCTCGTCACAGTTGTAGCAGAGCCCTTGCTTGCGGCGCTCTGCCATCTCGTCCGGCCACAGTCGCTTGAAGGTGCGCGGGGCCGTTGTGGTCAATGATGATGATGATGACGAGGACGCAGCACCCTGGGCCGACGCTAGTGCCGGCAGCGCCGGCTGTCCCCCAGTAGTGCGGCGTGGTGCACGACCCGGCGGTGTAGGCAGGGCAAGGAGAGTTGGAGCATTGCGCCTTTCGTACGCACGCGCCAGCCTCATGGCGCGCTGGAGATCCTTCGGGTCATGCAACTCGACGTCGACGCGGATGTGGTCTGGCAGTCCGCCGGTGAAGAGCTGTGCCTTCTGGAGTGGCGAGAGGTGGCCCGCGTGCGCCGCACGAGCTTGGAACGCGTCCATGTACGCGTCCACCGTGGACGTGAATGGTAGCCGCGCCAGGTCGGCCAAGTGGTTGGTGCTGAGCGGACGTCCGAAGCGCTGCTGGCATAGCCCTCGGAACTCCTCCCACGTCGGCCGACCGGTGTCGTTCTCCAGGACAAGGTACCACTGCAGCGCCGTACTGGTGAGATGGTATGAGGCAAGCCAGACTCGATCGGCGTAACGCGTCTGCTGGCCAAAGAAGAACTCCTCGCACTTGTTCAACCAGCCGAGCGGGTCCTCTTTGCCATCGAAAGTGGGAAAGGAGAGTTTGTGGAAGCGAGGAACGGTGTTGCCGGCTGGTTCGGGTGGCGGGTATGGTAGTGGTGGTGGGAAGTGCCTGGGGGCAGCGGACATGGCAGCAGACGGTGGAGGAAAAGGAGCACCCTGCATGATGGAAGACAGGGATGGAATGGGTGAGGGTGATGGTGGGAAGGAGATGTGCGCGATAGGTACACCCATCGATGGTGGTGGCGGTGGAACGGACGACACGTTCCCGGCCGTGGCAGAGGGTGCGGCTATTTGGTTGGATCGGCTGCTGGAACTGTGGTGCGGACAAGTAGCGCGAGGAGGGATGGCCGGGCGCCTGCAGCGCCGGGATGCCGCCATACCTAGGCAGCCCGAACGGCGAAGACGCACGTGGCGATGGCTGGCCCTCGAGGGCCGAGATGCGCAGCGACAAGTCGCCGATCTGACGCTGCATGCCGTAGATGGCCGTCGTGAGTTGGTGGAATGTCTCCGCGGCCGAGAGAGGCTGCTGCGGTGCTGGCGCACCCAAAGGCAGAAGCGCCGAGGGTACGAGGGCGGTGGAGAAGTTGGGAATGGAGGGCGCGGCTGTGGAGCTGGTGGGATCAGCATTTGTGGTGGCGGAGGCGGCGGTGGACGGCGGGATGGGAGGGAAAGGTGCCGAGGACGACATGGTCTCTGATACCAGGTTGTTACGGCGCCGTGACTTGCTACGGAGGAAGTAGGGAGGGGAGATTGCTGGCCGGGGCCTGGTGACCCGGCGGCGAGCGGGCGCCGTGCTCGGCGCGGGAACAGAGAGAGACGACTCGGGGCTGGGAGCCCAAGGGAGATTAGATCTCAAACCCAGGCTGATCCATTCATTCGGGAATGTGTGTGCCATATAGGCAGTTTACAAACGTAACAAACTTTCCTAAATTCACTCCTTGCCAACCATTCAAAGGGAACAAAGCAAATTGACTGGATCAACTAAATGAACTGAGTGACCCGGCTTCAGGAGCCGTGGTGACCGCGCCCTGGGCGCTGTGCCGTTTGGCCAGCTTCCTTGGTGATCAGCTCTAGCCACTGGTGCGATCCCGACGGTGGTACTGTTTTCCCACTATAACAGATGCACATGTGCAGGAAGAAGCATAATGACCTGAGCATTAGCGAATACATTAATGCCCTGAGCATTAGCGAATACATTAATTCTTACCAAAAAGTGAGTCAGTTTGTACTGTAGTCTGCACTGTGGAGCACAATGTCGTGCCTTTACGAGAAGTATGAATTTCAGGGATACATGTCTGGGGTTTGGTCTTTTCCTTGTTCACTTGTTGCATTCTTTGTCTGTATGTTGACATCTAAGACCAGCAATGTTTTCAAGTCATCCGATTAATCGCGATTAATCGTCCTAATCGGTCCCTGCTGACTGATTAGGGGTACCGTCGACTTGTACAAGTCGTCCGATTAATCGTCCTAGTCGGTCCTATGGCGACTAGGTTCGATTGGACGACTTGAAAACATTGAAGACCAGTGCTTGTTAGTACCTTTGCCTTATACTTGGTAAATATATTTTTATTAATCTGGTGTGACTTGTGAGTGAGCCCTGGATACATTAGTTTATGAGTTCACTAGGTGGGTACTAAAATTTTGTCTGTATCCAGATCAGTGATTTCATCTCTTTCATGATGAGGGGAAATCCAAATTTTTGTGTGTGTGGAAAGAATAGCCAAATATTGCTAGTAGCTGTTCAGTTGTGTATTATGAAAGTAAAGCTAACAAGATAAATTAGAATATGTGATACTGTATTTTGGGTTATAAACTAGGGTACTTTGCATGTCTTTCAAGGATCAATGCTCATAATATTCATTTGTTTTTCCAATAGGGAGTTAGAAGAGAAGTGGGCAACCACGCAAAGGTTTTGAACAAGTTTTGGATCCTCAAAGAGAAGGTACCTCTGGAGTATTCTGAAGTGGACATGGCTTCTGAGTTTGTTTCGGTTACCGAGGAGGCAATTTCAAATGCAAGCCCCTCGAAGTGCAGTTCTAGTACCGAATCACCAAGGGTGAAGAGGCTCCATAGTTCAGAACCCGAGGTAACCGAGTTGACAGAGCTGAAGCAGGCTTACATAGAGGAGGATTACCGGTTGAGTGAATCTGTTGGCCACACAGAGCTTCAGGTCACAGTCGGCGCCTTGTTAGGTTTTGCTGTAAGCTTAGCGGTATACGCGACACTGTAACACAAATTTTTTAATATAGTACGTTCTTAATTAGTTACACGTTTACACTTTTACACAAAAATAACACAAGCGATTGATTATTCCCACCATTCAATCAGAGACGCCTATGCTCGTTTCACATTATTCTGTAACCGAATATGGGAGTTCTTTTTTGTTTTTCAATAGGACTGAATGATCTGTCATGAGATGATGACCTTTGTGCCCCTTGTTTGTGACACTGATGTTTACATCGAACATTGCAGCAAGGAACAGCTAGTCGCCTAGTCCTGCTTATTTCACGCATTTCCTGTCCAAGAAACTGTAAACAAAATCTGGCTGGTGGCTGGTGGTACACACAGGTTGGCATATAGGACTAGTTTTATCTTCTCCGCGCACGCACGAACTTTGATTCGCGTGCCTGAAGCAAGTTAACTAGACATGGCTTTGCACTGCTGCTGCAAGCTCGGGATTGCGATGTGATGGCATGCAGGAAGAACCGTAACGCTTCCGGCGTTGCCTTCTTTCCGTGGAATAAATAGTTCATTGGTGCCAGTAAACAGAGGGCCTGGATGAAAGCCTCCCAAGGAGGAAGATGGAACTGTTTATTTCAGTCGTATAAAGGAAATTTCATGTTCTTGAATTAATACTCAAGAGGAAACCTTTTGTGTTCTTCCATATACACAGCCTACAGGTGGAGTGGTTGATCACTATGTGTCGATGTGTGGTCTTCTACTATGCTCCCACCATTCTAAATTATAAGATGTTTTGATTTTTTTTCTAGATATGTAATTTTTGCTAAGCACTTAGATATACATTATATTTAGATATATAATAAAAGTAATATATCTAAAAAAACAAAAAATGCCTTATAAATTGGAACGAGGAAGTATAAAACATTTTAGTTGTCGTCAGTTATCAAAATTTTACCAAATTTAGAGAAAAGAGGAATAATATTGACAATATTAAATGAACTTATTAGATACATCCTGAAACTATTTTAATTAATTATCTCTTTGATATGGTAGATGTTAATTCTCTTTTCTATAAACATAGTCAAATATAGTACGGGCTGACTTAGGATAACTGAAAATTCCATATATTTCAGGTTGGAAGAATATATATCAAAGTGTTGAATTTGGGTTTATGCAATGTTTACATGAATATAAATTGAATTTGAGTTGTCTTGGAATACCTAATAAATAATTGAGTGGACGCTCTTTTTACAAGCTGCCTACCTCAAAGCACCATGAGATCAAAACTCAATACCTTGGTTTCTTGTTGCTCAATAGCTCATCATCCTAGACTATTCAAGGCTGACATAAGGTAGAACTAATATTGGCAAAATAAGCACCAGAGCTCCTATGTTATTGTTTCTCAATTTGTAAGGTAATTATAATTAAACCGTTTGATGGTAGACCCAAATGAATGATGGAAGATATATAGACATCAAATCACACATGAGAAGAAAATTAGAAAAAAAATGACCATGTGTAGTGCTTTAATTGGTGATCATGAAGGCATGAACAGATATATACGCTGCGATCCTATATATTATTCACTACTGGATTCAGGCGCTTTGCCGAGTGCCGCACTCGGCAAAGAGCAGTCGGCAAAGAACCCATCGGCAAAGGTTTCTTTGTCGAGTGCCACATATCGGGCACTCGGTAAAGCCTTTACTGAGTGTCACGTCAGCACTCGGCAAAAAAATCCGACGTCAACTCTGACGGCCTCTTTGCCGAGTGCCACCTCAGCGGCACTCGGCAAAGAATTTTTTCTTTTTTTTTTTGAAAATTCTTTGCCGAGTGCCATACTCTTGCACTCGGCAAAGAAATTTTTCCTTTTAAAAAAAAATCTTTGCCGAGTGCCATGGCTCTGGCACTCAGCAAAGCTAGGAAATTGGGTCTCTGCTTCCCAGCTTTGCCGAGTGCCATGGTCACGCCACTCGGCAAAGCCCTCTTTGCTAAGTGTGGCACTCGACAAAGAGGAAAAAATGCTATTTTTTGGTTTTTTGCTTTCCATCAGCACAAATAAAGAAATCACATATATATCAACACACAGCATAGGATATATCACATACACATCCATATTCCATCACATACACATCCATAACCCATTACATACATATCCACCATCCATAATACATCACATACAAATCCATTGTCCATAATCCATCACATACATTTGCATCATCCATGACAATATCCATCACAATATATATATGTCTCTAGTAGTAGTCCAACATAAGGCTAAGTCTAACACAAGTCCATGCAACATGAAAAGAAACAAATAAATGGTACCTACTGCCAGCCTCCCCACCCGGAGTGTGAACTGCCACCTTGAGGAGGGCCAGTTGTCCACCCGGCCTGTGGAGAAGGGCCACCTTGAGGAGTCCGGTTCGAACCCGCCGACTGTTGCTGCACAAAGGAGAAGCGAATTCATGAGTATCTACAGGAGGACCGCACAAGCCAAAGGAATAAACAACCATATATACTCACCGGAGTCCCTACAGGAGGAGGAGCCACAACTAGAGCGAGCAGCGACTAGGGCACGACCACACCTGGCAAGGCCTAAAGGCTCGCCATGAAGCTAAACATGTCCTGCAGCCTCTGCGCCTCGGCCGCCCTCTGGGCTTGTACAACCTCCATCTCCAGCCAATGGGCCTCCGCCTGGGCTGCCTGCTGGGCCTCCAACCTCCGCAAGTCGGCCTGCAACATTCCACCCGCAATGTTTAAACAATGCAAAGGCAAGGTAGATGTGTAAAAGCAATGAACGACGAATAAAACAGTACTAACCTAGAGTTCCACCATCTGCTGCTGTGAGCTCTGCTGCCGAGAGCGTATGGGGAGGGAGGAGCTCGTGCTCCTTGCTCGAATCTCGGCGAGGTTGGGAACAGAGGCGGAGTCGACTGTGCTGTCCGCCATCCAGTACCGGCTGTGCTGCTTCCCTCCTCCCATCCTCACCAGGAGGTCTATGTCCAGGGGCTGGGTGGCCGGATCGAAGTCCTCCCCATGGCACTCGCGGGCCGCCGAGGTGTACTCGCTAAGCTTGCTGTGGACGCTCGCGTTGGTGTACGCCTCGGGCCCGTCCACCGGGTTGTAGGTGACTTCCGGGGCCGTCACCTTGCCCTTGTGTGCCAGGGCGTACGCCATGAACTCGTTGCATTCCTGGCCTTGGTGCGCCTGGGACTGCGAGGAAAACACAAAGATGATTATAAGTAATGAGAATTGAGCGTTAGAATAAATAAATAAAGATGAAAACACAAAGAAAATTACCCATGTCTGGGCGTACGCGCTGAGGCTCCGGTTGCCTTGGTGGTGTGGCGCCCCACCCATCTACAGGCGGCAGTCCCGATGGATGTTGTGCTTCTCCGCCCACTCCTCCGAGAGCCACCTGTCCACAATGGCCTCCCAGCAGAGGTGGTGCCTGGCGCACCAATCATGACATTGCTGCATGCCATCAAGTTATTGATATGTCAGAAGATAAAATGAAGTCTACCTATTCTTCATGGAAGGAGTCAGTATTAATGTTTCGTACTTACCAAGAGGTACTGCTCCTTGGTGAGCGTCCTGGTCCTAGCATCGGCCTTCCTCACCACCTGACCAAGGACGTCGGCGCTGTAGTTGATGATGCACTGGAGCCACGTCTCGTGGTACAGGTCCGAGAGTCGGGACCTACAATCCTTGTCCTACACTCGCGCCGCCCGGTCCTCAAACCCTTCGTCGCACCTGAAGAAGTCCTGCATACAGACATCATGTATCGTTTCATTATTTCAAGAACGACCAATGAATGCGTAGTATTGACCAATTTAGTGCGATGAAGACTCACCCAGAACTTGGCCTTGATCCGCGCCACAACGGTGCTGAACTCGTTGGCCTCGGTGGCTTAGAAGTGGTCCCACGTCTAGGGCGGCGAAGTCACCGAGGTGTAGGTGACCATGCCAGGGTAGTGCTGCCGAATCAGAAGATCCAGGGTGCCATTGATGTGCCGGCCCGTTCCGGACACAACTTCCCAGTTGCTGCAAGAGTCATTAAGAAGAATTGTTAGTCTCCAGTTTGATTTTCAACATGTCATATGAAATAGTAGTGAAATAATACTTACTTGTCGCCGCTTGGTCGAATCACCGGGCGCCGGTGAAGTGGGGTCGGCCGCGCCAGGAGCTGCGAGGGCCCGCGCAAGTAGACTCCCGACGAGGTAGAGCTAGAGGCAGTGCAAGTGGAACCCCCTTCTGTCGCTATCGCCGCCTCCCCGTGGTCCAATGAGTCAGAGATAGTGCCACTCCCTCCTATGTGCAGGCCCACCGCCTAGTCGTCCTCGTCCACCGACGGGGTGGCAGCCGGCTGCACCCTCGTCCTCGGATGGTCGCGGGGGCGGCTGCTCCTCGTCCTCCTCGTCGACGGCTCTGGCAAGGGGTCGTCCTCAGCGTGGGGTGGTGAGCGCTCCCTCATGTAGAGGGAGTTGACCCCCCGACAGGCCTGCCTTCCGCCCGGCATTTTGTCGAGTGCCTGCAATTTCAAAGAGTAAACCAATTAGCACAGTTAAATTACAAGTACTTATAAAGAGATGCAAAATGAACGAAATATAATTGCAATAATAATAATAATAATAATATAGTATTACATGAATTAGAAATATTCTTCACGATAGGCAGCGGCTGGATGATAGGTGTCGTCATCACTATCAATATTGTCGAGTAAATTGGGCTCATCTCCATCGTTGTCATCATTGTCATCGCCTAACTATAATCGCTCAAGCATTTGTAAGTCCTTAGCATTTTGCACCTCTTCTCCGTTGTCCTCATCTCCATCGTCCTGATCAATGTCATTGTCTACTTCCATGCCCATAAGCGAAAACATGTCTATGTCAAACCTCCCTTCTAGCCCCTCTGGTTGATAGAACTCCCATGTGTTTGGGTTAAAGTTGTAATCCTCATCGTTTGGGACAGGCAGTTTACCGTGCGGTGATACCAACTGCACAAGGTACCAACCGATAAGATTGGGGTCTTTTTGGCACGCCCATGGGAG